CGAGGGCGTCTTTCAATGGCAGCCGAGCGTAGCCGAGTTTTGGTAATTGCCTATTTTTCAGTATGTATTTATGACAACAGTTCTTCAATACGTTCGTCTCGTTGATCTTATCGTTTTTGACTGTTTCAGCAAATCTTCGGATTCTACGTCTTCGTTACTCAGTGATATATCAATTTCATTTCAGTCGTTGGTTGCATATCCGAAAGTGCATCAGCAAGTGTTGTGCACGGACTGCTCCTCTCTGAATCCGCGTGATTTCAACGATTCAACGCTGTTTTGGGTGAATCAGCGATTTGCAGTGATCAAGGTGAATAATTCTGTTCTAGCACGTATTATGCTGTTTTGCTAATGCGACTCATGAGCAAGGTCGCGAATTCCTCATAGGAGAAATTGTCTGAATGAGGACAGGATCTTACTAAAAAATCTTTTCAAATTCTGGAGATGGTATTTTACAGGTGCCAGCCGGATATGTAATAACTGCGAAATTTTCACAGAATGTTTTAGAACGGAAGGCAGCAGAATCGTGGTCGGGTAAATTTGATCGGCCGTTTACAGCTTTCACAGGAAACGAATGTGCAAGCAGAGCATGACGAAATCATCGCATTACGTGTTTTGCGTGTGCAAGAGGCTCTTGTTAAGGTTTGTAATTGTTTTCATTCTTTAAGACGTTGTGAATGTGCCGAGGCAGATACTTAGATGTGATGTGAAATCACTGGTCAGTGTGATTGACGAGTTTAGGTGAATTCTGTTCAGTTTATAAATTTCAAATGCATTTCCTTTCGAAAAATGAGGCTTTTTGAAAAAAAAAATTTTTTTTTAAAGAAATCCGTGCGCTTTTTTTGAATTTGTTTTAGTAGAAATGGGAGCTTCTTTCAGATTATGAAAATTCGGAAGCGCTGTCAGAGTGCGCAACTGCAAACTGAATTGATTGAATTGCTCAAGCACATGTTCCTTCCATCGAAGAAATTGATAAAAGAGCAGGTAATTTTTATATTTAAATTTAGCTTGGAATATTTTCACTTCTGTTTGTGTTCGACTTAAAAGATAGTGCTAAAATTAGTAGCTTCCAATTTTTACTCGTTTTTTATGCGTTTTTGCCGTGCAGCGCTAGAGCGCTGCAACAGGCAGCAAAAACGCATATT